ACTTCGAAACCGCTTGACAATTTTTGGGATTTGGGATTTTAACCCCTATCAAACTCAATTAACGTTTCAAGCAAGTTAAAATGGAATAACTTAATTTTCTTTTTTGATACCTGCTATACACATGTTGATTAAAATGTGTACCGAATTTCATTGCGTGTTGAAGTTTGTTTTCGAAGTTATACACTTTTTCTCAAATGTTCCTTAATTTTTGTTGACTAGTTTATTATAAATTCAAGAAAATAGATTAAATCCTTCTTTGGGAATGTTTTACAACGATTTATGCACCTGCCGTGCAGTCTCGGCATTGTGGGAGAAAAAGACTTTCGTGGTGCTAGCGTGTCGTATGAGGCGAGTAAATGGCGACTCAAGTAGAGACTCCCGAAGCAGAGTCACGAGGCTAACAAACCTCTTTCGTAAAAAGAATCTGTTACAGAAACATATACAAGCAAAAAACATTATCTCTATTTGGCTGATCGTGGAATTTCTCTGAATGGAGAACCTATGATCAGAGGCAGTGAAAGCCGAAAGGAAGCTGCTGGGTAGAAGTCCCCACCATCATCCAAGTCAAAGTCTCTCCGGATAGGATCGTGGAACGTCAGGACCCTTTACGAGGCTGGAAAAACTGCGCAGGTCCTCCAAGAGATTCACCGATACCTCTTACACATACTGGGAATCAGCGAGACCCACTTGAATCAGTCTGGACAAAAGCGAATGAAAGAGGGATGGGAGAGAGAAAGAGAGAGAGAGAGAGAGAGAGAGAGAGAGAGAGAGAGGAAACGACAGTGATGGACCACACAAAGAAGGAGTAGGGATGATCATATCCAAAACAGCTCAAAAGACATTCTGGGGCTGAGAAGTGCACGGTCCAAGGATCTTAATGACCTCTTTTGGAACTAAGAAACTTATCCGATGGAGAGAACCATTTGATCAACTCTTGAACAGATCACCTCCAGAAGATCAATCAAAAATTCTTCCAGCCAGAAAAGACCTCCCAATAGTTACGGAACCACCTTTGAGAGAGGAAATTGCAGCAACTATAACATCACTGAAGTTCCACAAGGCAGCTGGTTCCGACCATATACCACCGAAAGCCTTTTTAAGGCAAATAAAGATACATAAGTGGAAATTCTTTACGCTCAATAAGAAAAGGTTTCGCAAGAGGAGGAAATACCATCAGACTGGAATGAAGGCCACCTAATCAAGCTGTCAAAGAAAGGACACCTCTGCAATTGTAACAACTACAGGGGCATAACACTCCTGTCCATTATACATACCTGGGAAAGTCTTTAACAGGATACTCCTGGAGAGAATAAAGCTGGTAGCAGATGAGAAGCTCCGAGAAAACCAGGCATGATTTCGCAAGAACCGATCATGTGTGGACCAGATTGCTACTCTGTACATCACTATTGAGCATTCGCTTGAATGGGATTCGTCACTCGTGGTCAACTTCATTGATTATGAAAAGGCGTGGATAGGGAAACTCTGTGGAAACTCATGCGACATTATGGAATACCTGACAAAATCATCAAGCTTGTGAAGGCCACATATGATGGAACAAACTGCCAA